TACTGAGAAGTATTGAATTACTTAATGTGCTTTATTTATGACAAAATCATATTGATAGTCGTGTTGCAAAAAATATTACTGAAATTGAAATTTCATGTCACTGATTAGTGTGATCTTCTAGTTTATCGATATTTTCTCATCATGCGTAGTTTTCTAATACGTTTACAATATTGTCATAGATACTTTTTTCATTCTTTATAGTTTTTACTTTTCTTCAAAGGTTTATTTACTGCTTTACTTTGCCCTCTTATTAGGATTTCTTTTTTCAGACATCATTTTAACAACGAAAAAAATATGTAGTGATTGACAATTTTTTCTGATTCAAAACAATAAACGGATTTGTTTATTTATAGAAAAGTTTTTAATTAATTATATATTATATTCATACGTAGATTCAATTTTTTTTTCTGTATGATTGTTTACATAGTTACCAAAACTGACGTTGAAATAATCAAATTGAATAAACTTGAGGATGTGGGTGTGTCGATGTCAGTGTCTGACATGGTAAAGAGAAGAACACCCACACTCACATCCACCCACACCCCGCACCCATACCCTGTGGGGTCTGAGCGTATGGTTTGGGTATTTTAGTCAACCAAACACACCAAGACTCACCCACACTCCGCATCGACCGACATTTCAAAGTTAAAGTGACATATAATAATCAAACGGCTTATCCTCATTTTTTTCTGATGTTTTACTTATACATGATGAATATTCTAATGCTGATCATTAGCGTGTCTAATTATATATGCTTAAGTTGATGTGCTCATGGTTTCAATTTTCATCAAAATGATTAATCATTGATTATTTTGATTTTTTAGTTTTGAATTTATTTAATAAAGCTTCGTTAGTGAACTGGAAGATTTATTTAGGCAAATATATTTTTAAAAATTTTAGTTGAAAAAAGGGATTGTGTCGAAAAAAATATATTGTTCTTGAAAACAATAATTATTTCTATTTTTGTTTTTTCGAACAGAATATATTAAAAATACATTGATAACAACAAGTAATAACCATAAAAATATAACACAGTATTAAATAAACAAATGTAAACTTATATAAAACAGGATGACAATAATTATATGTATAAAAATTATTAGTTGTATCATATTCATGTGTAACTTGCTTATTAATAAGAAATGTCCATACACTTCCGATAATAAGCCAAATAAATGAAAAAATCCCGCTAAATAGAATAATTATGGTTAAAATAAATGGAAGAATTAAAGACAATAAGGAACGAAGAGAAGTAAGAAAAATAGTTACGACTGAAATAATAATATTAAGAGTTATCAGTGCTAAAGCAACACTTCCCGAAACAATTAGAAAAAGACTAATACGAGGTTCAATTGGACAATAGCGTGGATCACGATAACGTGTGCCAATAACAAGTAAAATAATTGGTACAGCAAGCAAAATAATCAACCAGACAAGACCGAATATTGATGTTGCTGCAACAGCAGTAACTATAAGAGCGATCCAAGATTTTAATTCAGTTTTATCTAAAGGATTACGATTAGCTCCATTAGCTGAAAGTAATTCATCTAACGCTTTGTATTTCATCTCACAGTTAGACTTTCACCTGAAATTTTATATTCAACTTAGTGAAATAATTGACATTCTGTCCTACGAAAGAATTACCGAAAGAGAATAATTATTCATTCATTCAAAATAAAAATACTGATCAAAGCTGAAGACAAACAACATGCACTCTTCTTAATGGAACATGAGAGCAAAAAAGTTTTTTTGCATCAATGCTTAAGTAAGAGAACAGCTTATTTTTCTTTCATAAAAGCTTGGCATAATGTGAAACGAAAAGCATCGATTTCTTTTTTACGCTTTATCAACGAAGAAAAATTTATTTGTATAGAGCAGTGGCACTGACGAGATTACCAATAAGCTTACCTCTATTCATAGAAACAATCAAAAAAAATTTCTATTTAACGAAGATTAATTCAAATTGAATTTAAATTAACATAGATTGAATTTTTATTTAAAATCAATGAAAACCATTTAGAATTTATTTCTCGATTAAAAAGACTGTCGCATATTTAAATGGCTTATTCCTATTGACGATATTCAATAGTTGTTCTTTCTACTATACGAAATGATTTAATTCTTAGAGAACAACTCCAAATATTTATTTATAAATACATACGAATATATGTATCGATTTTTCACTTTAGCTCATTCATTTATAAAAATTTCTAAACTTACAACTATTCGATGAATGTTCCATTAATACGACTAAATTAATAAACATCGCTTCAATATCATTCATAAAAGATAATTTATTTACATATATATGTACTTTTTATTCTTCATAAATCAATGGATAATAATTGATTTTATTTGAAATTCTATCTTCTGTTATTTATTTGAATGAACAAAAGACTTGATTGAGGACAACTATTTGTTCAAATGTGAAATTAATATTATTGATCTCAAGTTGTATTCTATAAATAGTCATTTAGATTTCATCAAATATTAACAATTATTTACTGATCATACGAAAACCATAGAAATTTCAACTGTTGTCTATTTATATACAAAATAATAATTTAGTTCTAATAGTTCGATTTATTGAATTGTTAAAAAAATATATATACATAATGTTTTTTTCTTCATACTTCGTATCATCAATTTTCATTTATTTTACTTTATAGAATAATTGAATATTTAGATAAGTTTTGAAAGCTAAACTAAGTATATACAAAATTACAATAGATTGAAATAATTAAGCAACTATTCATTATCAATCATAAATTTGTTCTCATATATGATGGGTGTGGGTGTGGTTGTGGGTGTCGTTGTGTTAGTGTGGGTGTCAGTGAGGATGTCAGAAAGAGGAATACCAGCATCCACACACCCACACCCAAATATTCGTCAAAATCTACTCGTACTAGTCGTCGTTTTGCAAGAAAACATAAGGGTGTGGGTGTGGGTGTGGGCGTGGGTGAGTGTGGGTGGATGTGGGTGTGGGTGTGGGTGTGTGTGGGGTGGGTATGGGTGTGCCTTAAGAAACACTTGTCACCCACACCCCACACACCCACACCCACACCCATACCCACATCCCACACATCCACACCCATACCCACATCCCACACATCCACACCCCACACATCCACATCCACCACCCACACCCGACGATCACTACGACTGGAATTTTTTAAAATTATTAGAAAAAGAAACCAAAATAGTTATGTTCAGTTAATTACCGTTTGCAGAGTAGAACGGCACATATGACGATGAAAAGAATGCCAGAGAGAAGAATAACAAGTAAAATTAAGTCAGTATTGTCTAATTGACAAAATGGATTTCTTTATTTGAATCTTAAAAGTCCGATTCAACTTACTCTGTCGTTGATTATCTAGAATAAGTTCAACTACTTTTTGTTGAATTGCAGTTGTAGAGTCATCATCAGAAAGAACGTTCAAATTCGTAGTGTTATTATTTTTACTATTAGTAGTGGTCGAGAACGACGAACAGGTGTGACTAAAAGACACATGATAAATGATTCTAGATCTACTCCTAGCTGTCTGTTATGATATTATTAAAATTAATCTTTGCATAATCTCAGCAGTTGCAATATGTAGATGATATCTGTTTACAGACAACGATCAGAGAAAACATGCGATTATCGAGAAATCGTTCGACATAATTCAATATTTTTCAATCGAGAATTGTACCTTCAATAGGTAATATTGAGACTAGATTACTAGGTACGATAATATGGGATGTGACATTTTGTTTTTGAGTGATGATCATTTGACTGAATCTTCTTCTCTTAGCCAAGCTCTTTTGAAAATATTAAATTTTAGGGATTTATTAGATAACGTTTCTAGTATGTTTCAGTACATTCGTTTTCTTCCTTTTTTTTTGTATGAATCTTGTATGCTCTCTTTCTAGTACTGTTTGGTAAGTGTTGAATTCTCTACTATTTTCTAGCAAATTCTTTTGCTTTCGATTTCCTATAGATAATTTATATACAACTGTTGCTTGAAACAATAAAGTTGATTATACAGACGTGATAAGATAAAACTTCTTTTTGACTGATAACTGGTGACTGGTTGACTACCTCTACAGATTTAATCTAAAAGCATGTCGATAGATAGATCTAATTTAAATTTAAAATGTCTTGAAAATATTAAAAAAAGAACACATATCTATCTCAAGTTAAAACATTAAGAAGACTTGGTCAATCGTCAAACAAGAGACATGATGTTCGATTTTTTTTCGTAAGCTCAATATCTCAAGAGAGATACATTCATTTCTGTTGAAACTGAATGGGTGTACGCTGTGGATGTCGATGTGGGGCTTTCCTTCAGCAAAATCCACCTATACCCTCGACGTACTTTTTTGACTTAGTTTGTGAAATTTTCAAAACCGCATCGAAATGTATAAAATTCAAAATATTGAAATCCTATTCGCGTGTCTAAAAATGGTCAACAATGTGATGTACACTCGGCTAATACAAGAGCAAGATTTTCAGAGACTTTTGATCAACACTGTATGTGTTTGAATTTCAACTCACAATATCAGGTCGAGACGCCCCAAAACGTGTGAAATGCTGTAATCAAGCGCACTTTTTGGCTTCGAATGTTGGACAAATATTGATTGACTCCTCCTACTTGTTCGCAATATTGACGAGTATTTTTCATTCTCTTTATTGTCCTTCACTCGATGATAAGAACGGCACGTGGTGATACGAATAATAACCTTCTTTTTATTCTTTTACACTACTCTTTATGTCTGTCTAAACGAACATGTTTCTTCTACTGACTGTCAGCATAATCGTTTTATTAATCTTATATGTAAAGCTCAAATATTTTACTCTTCGTGGGCCTATACCTGGTCTGGCGCCGCATTTTCTATTCGGAAATGTAATTCAATCGGGTCAATTACTAAATGGTGTATCTCTACCGCAAGTCTGCTCGAAGTTCAAGCTTCGTTACGGTGATATTTTTCAATTTTGGTTTGGTCCAATACGCTTCATTATGGTCAGTGGTATCACCGATGTACAACACATATTTACTCATCGAAATATATACGAGCAAGGTGATATTTATATTAAACAATTTGGTATTCTTACTCCAAATTCACTCATTTCAGTCAAAGGTAAATTTCGATTTTTATGCCAGAAATAAAAAAAAAAACTAATATTTCTTCTTGTCTGTGACTAGGAGCTCATTTCAAACGACATGCCACTATTACTCTGCCACTATTTCGTCGTGGAAAGATCACGAACAATATCGATTTAATTGTTGATTGTACTGACAAACTTTTGGCCAATTGGCGTACTAGACCTAATAAGCATGTTCATTGTGATATTGTTCAACAATGTCAAAATTTGATGCTCCAAATTTTTGGTTTGATCGGATTTGATTATGATTTGGAAATGCTCGACGAACGTGGTTCAGATCAAAATGAACTTGGAAAAGCACTCTTTGATCTATTAAAAGCAGCTGAATTTATCATTTTTGCACCAACTTTTATGGGCAAACTTTATACAACATTCAGTGGTCGACATCGAAGAGCAAAAGCAATTGTTAAAAAATATCTTTATAAAATGATTGAAAATGAAATGGCCCAAAGTGAAGAATCGAGAGCACAACGGAAGAGAACGTGTTTGATTGCTTCACTCGTTGCTTCACTACAAAAAGACGAAGAAATAGAAGCAAGAAAGAGTGACGAAGAGAAAAAAGGTATGGTTAATTCGAATCATTGTTGATTTGCAAAAAAGAAATTTCGAAATTTTCCAAACATGAATATTAATAGAAAACGAATGTGTTGGGAGGCTTCTTTTTCGTGAAACAAGATTGCAGCGTATAACAAGACAAATGAGGGCATGGGTGTGAGTATTGATCTTGATTAGACCCACACCCATATCCATACTCTATTTTGAAATTTCAACATTCCTAATTAAAATAGTCTGATATTTTGAATTATCTTCAATTGTCAATAGGTCTATCACGAGATGAAGTTTATCAAGAAATGCTTTTATTTTTAATCGCTGGTTTTGACACAACATCTAATGCACTGGCTTGGTTTATTCATTTCCTGAGTAAATATCCTCGAGTGCAACAAAAAATCAAAGCAGAATTAATAGATATCTGTAATAATCAAACGTTGTCTGTGAATCAACTTGATTCTTTGACTTATTTGGATTGTGTTATTAATGAAACATTACGTTTTTTTCCACCTGTCAATGGTACCGTTCGTACGTTAACTGCTGACGATCGTCTGCCTGGAAGTGGTGTTCAGTTGTATAAAGGTGACTCAGTACTAATTCCATTTCATAATTTATCACATGATACTCGATTATGGTCTATCGACCCTAATATATTCTATCCAGAAAGATTCTTAGGCGAAGATAAAAGTCATAATCCGTATGCATTGATTCCATTCGGTAATGGTCACCGTCAATGTATAGGACAGGATTTGGCACGGTTTGAACTCAAAGTCATTGCAGCAAGAATGATGCAACAGGTCACATTTGGTGATGGTGGACCTGATGTCAACTCCGGTGGTCATGTGACAAGACTTGTCATCGCACCAAAACATGTTGGTGTTACTATCGAATTCGTCTAAATTATACTATGAATTTTCGCAAATTGTGGGTTTCAAACATTTTCCATGGCCACCACAGATAGCACGAAAAGCTTTCTATACATTCAGTTAGTTTATGATTGAACCCATAAAATGATGCATAATTCATATGTTTCTATTCATATTTATGATTTTAATAAAAAGAATAGAGATCGATAAGACACAATGATTGAGATTCGATTCAACAGTAAACAGAAACTAAGTCGATAATGAACGAGCATAAGAAGATAAATGGAGAATTCTCTCTTCAACAAAATAAAAAGAATTAATAGTTATCAGAGTATTTCGTGGAACAATTCGAACATTGAATTCAGTCTGCAGATTTTATTACTTGTGACTGCTAGAAACTCTTGTCATACAGTGATGATAAGTTGCTTGAAAGATTTTATGTTAGGTAGCTTCTCAGTAATTTTCCAAGGTTTGGAACTTATTCTCGACGAGATTAAGGTTTTGAAATCATGGCTACTCTGTAACGGCATGTTCGGCTTGCTATCCTCCATAGTGATGTTGTCTATTTACTTGAAGTCTAATTGATCGATGCTGCAATCATGTACAAGTTTTGTTCATAGTCATAACACATACCATTGTAGTAGATTCACACTGATGGTTTATGCTAGTCGAAGTGTATTCATCGTCATAACATTAATTCAAGTTAAGGAGAATTTCTTTTTTAGAATCAACATTTATCACGTTCACAGCAAATGATGAGTATTATTCGTACCCTAATATCGATTGAAGAACATTGTGATATACATATGTATTCAACTTGTCCTTAATGACAAGTCAACAATGATGCATAAAAATAGTGTGATATTCATCTTGATGTCAGACGGTTGTTCCGGTAGGCCATGATGGACTAAGACTACGAATGATACATACCTCCATTTTGAGACATTCTAATTGACGAAAAAGTAAATTATGCATGTCATCAAATCAAGAGGCTTGGAGGATGGTATCGACTGATGTGCTGATATTTCAGATTCTCTTACGCAAATGTATCATTGAAAGTCGTTTCGCTGCAGTCTATTTATTCTTAGTTTTTTTTATCGAAGAAAGTGGTACATGAGCAATATTACGAGCATGAGAAATAACAACATGATAATTATTTTTGTTTAGTGACTACTTAAAATGATTCTTGCAGGCGACCTTTGTACAATATATTTAGTTGCTGTTGATATACGTGCCGACTCGACAGTAGTATCAAATTCGAAATCTGGATTCAGATAAAATTTCGCGAAACACAAGACACGAATAGCTGACTATCTCAATATCTTATCAATATCTGAATTCAAGTTTCAGATTTAACACTACTGACAAATCCATTACTGTTTTCGTTTAGTGTCAATTTTCAATTCAAGATAAAGTAACTTGATTGTTGTATATTTGTTATTTAGTATAGAGCAAGAAGAAATTGCATTTGAATATATGTAAAATAAACTCGATTCTCACAAAAGTTACTGTTCATAGGCAACATTGGGGAGAAAATATTTGTTTCGATACAATTATTCGAGATAATAAATCATATTAATCGAAGAGTATGTAGTTTACAGAATCAAGAAAAGTATACAATATTCAAATGAAAACTATCAAAAATACAGTAGAAGAAAAGCCACTACTTAGAAGCAATTTTATTTACAAAACATTCCTTTTTTAATAAGTTGTAGACGATGGAAAAAAATGATATGCATTCAATTGAAATTCTGTTCCGAAACGTTTCACTGATGGCTATCTGTAAAGAAATGAATACAATGCTTATGATGTTTGCAGGCAAACAAAAAACAGATAAAATCCAGTACAATTAATTGAAATGTTTCTTTCTTCAGTCCTCTGATTTGCGATCGTATGTATTTACTGATAAGCAAGCCAATGAATAAGTTGTATAGTAAAGCATCAGTGGAAACCTGTTAAACGTTTAATTAATCGGAGCGAACATGACACTCAACCAAGCTGCTGAGAAAAAGTCAGCTAATGTTTAATTACATGTTGGTTTATTTCTAACAATAATTAAAAAACCAGTGTAAGGATCCTTCTATTTGTCATCTTCAACAAGAGATTTACCTCTGTGTATATACACACATCTTATCATTGTCATAAAATAAAACGAAAAAAAAATATTTAGAGAACAAAAAGAAAAGCAATCAGTTTAACATATACACGTCATAGACGCAAATGAGTATAGTCTTCCAAGCTAAATAATGTTGAAAGACTTCTCTGGTTGTATTATCAAGATGAATCGTATCAATGTATACTTGATTAAGTAAAGCTGAATAAATGTATTTGTTATTCGACCTATCGAAGTCGACATTTACGACCTTTGCAACTATCGCACTGAATGGTCATAAATGAGGGCTGTATCTCGCATAATTTCATTGAAGAGCGTTGTTTATTATCGAAGACTTTCACCTGGACATGTCTTCAAGTACGAAATCAACAGATTTATTTTGACGTTTATTGTTACGATAAAAATTTACAACATAGGCCTACTTCTATTAAAAAAAAAGTTTTTGCATTTATGTATGTTTCCAGTTCTGTTCGATATTGACTAGCTAGAATGCATGTGCTTCGTCTTGTCCTTTTTGTATTGGCATCACTCGTCAACAACATAGTTATTATATCTTGTCAACAAAAAACTTGTCTTCACTGAAAAAAATTCAATAATTTGTTTACTGTGGAGACGGCCAATTTAAATCTGCAACTACGCTACGAGCGTGTATTCCAACTGTTGATTGTTCACTGTTCCAGTCGGATCTTGATGTGATCAAGCTACTGCCTTTTACCTGGTCTTCTGAACATTCACAATATACAACCGATGCTAACCAGCACGTAATCGCCTTGTCCATAGTACATGAAAATAAAATTCCATTGATCGTCTATTGTTTGAGAAATTTAAAGGTGTTAAATGTCTACGAGAGTAATCTTAATCGCTTGCTTTCTGAAATACACCTTCTCTCGAATCTTGAATCCATTATCTTATCTGCCAATTCTAATTTCACACATGTAGCAGATGAAATCGGAGAACTCAGTCAGTTAATTGAATTTAAGATTGAAAAGAGCAGAAAACTGACACATATACCTGCCGAAATCGGCAAACTTATTAACCTCAAACGTTTGAGCATCATCTATTGTAGTCTAGACGATGTTCCAAGCTCAATAGACAATCTTCAACATTTAGAATCATTAGACTTGACTGGCAACCGCCTTACTGGATTACCACATAATCTACAAGGACTGATTTCGGTACGTTCACTCATACTTGACTACAATCCTCGCATGTTCTCATGGCTAGCAATAGCAGCACTTCCCAATCTGCGTCATTTAGAGCTGAGAGGCTGTGGATTGGAAGAAATTCCATCCGTGGTTACCGAAATGACCGCATTAGAAAGCATTGGTCTCGGTCACAATGCACTTACGTCTATTTCATACAATATCACGAAATTGATGAACCTAAATACGCTTTCACTATATAATAACCGATTCACAAGCATACCCAAAGAACTGGCACTACTACGAAATCTTACAAGCTTGGATATGGAGGGTAATCATCTCGCTGATATAAATACTGTTGGCTCATTAGGACAAATTCGATTTCTTGCTTTTTCTCAAAATCACATCACATCCATTACAGCTGACATAATAAAACTCAACAAGATACTTGCGTATTTGTACTTAGATGGCAACAAATTAAGTAGTGTGCCGAAGGAACTGGCACATTTAAGTCAACTCAAATACTTGGGAATACCAAATAATGAGTTTTCAAACACTACACTCGACTCAATCAAAGATATGTTTGCTAATAACACTTGGACATGGGTTTACTACTGAAGCATAAAACAATAAACTCTAAAATTCTGTCATTCTTGATAAGAGGTGTGTGAGTGTGAGTGTGGCTATCGATGAAGAAAAGACCGACATCCGCACCCACACCTAAATTTATTCTAATATTAGTAAATATTTCCAGGAAAACAAAAAATCAAAAAAATACGCCTAGATGCAGTTCAGATGAAACATTTCTTACGTTCTGCGTGCCTAAACTAATCGGTTCCCAGGGCATCTGAGCGTGGTTATGTATAGAATGAATGCGGCTGAGTACGGTTTTTAAGAATTTCTCAAACGTATCGTAACGTGTTTTGTGCATTGACTACGTTCAAATTCGATTCAGGTCTTTATTTTAATCGCGTTCATACATAGTTCAATTTCTAATCATTTCGACGCAAGAAGCGTTTCATCTAAGCTACATTCAGACATGTTTATATCAGAAAAACATTTACATGGGTTTTATTGCTCAAAATGAAAACGCACCTACAAAGTTCGTTTTCTTCATAGTCAAAGTTACTATAATCACGCGCAAGATCTATTCTAAACTGAGGGCGTGGGTGTGGGTGCGAAGATGGGTTGGGTTAGTTTCTGTGGATGGGGAGTGGCTGTTGGTGTTGGCGATGTATGGATGTTATGCTCAACCAAACCAAGACTTACAGCCACACGAACATCCACACTCGCACTTTCCTATACCCAGATTCATACTCACAACCACACCGGCCACTCACACTTACGTCCATATGTCACACCCACGCTCGCAACGGTGACAATACCTGTACGTATGGTCACCGGGTTCAAGCTGGTTTTCTGGAAGAAAATGATTTTTCTAGTGAATAACAGTATTTTACATATGTTGACAGAAATAGGTCGAGTCCGGCGACTCAGAATATGTAATCAGTTTCTGGAAGTTTTGATTTGAATTTTAAGAATCTAAGAAAGGATTTTCTGCGAAAATAAGGATATGATACAAAGGTTGACCAAAGTAAAACGAGATGGAAGAATCCGAATGCACACTTTGCTTTTCGAAGTTTTGAGTTCGATTTTTCGCAGTTGATTCTTTTCTGAAAAAAATTTGCTTTTCTCTAGAAAAATAGCTATGTGCGAAAAGCAAAATTGTTTTTAAAAAAAGGTTTTCTGTGACTAGAAGAACTTGAAATTTTAAGAAACCAATTACAGATTCCAATTTCTCAACCCTCTACTTACTTTCGTAAACTCTTATAAGAATACCGATATTTTCTCAATAAAAAAGACAGTATCTGATTGGTTGGCTTTCTAGCCAATGGAAAGACCAGATGGGAAATCTGCCGTCGGAATCGGATTTCCCGACCTCGATTACCTCGGGTGAAACTTTAAAAGGTATCGCTAAATAAACTTCACCCCTGGTGTTCTTTTGACCTTGCCACAAACAGACAGACACAAACTCTTTTTACTTTTCTTTCACATGACTCTCTCTACAGTCGAGGGAATCATAAAACGAGTGGCATTTCCTATTTTGATAACATACTTTATCTTACTTTAGCATCAAAACAAATAATACACTGTGCGATAAAATGCAAATGAAAACAGAACGCAAAGCAGAACAGACAAGTTAAACTATTTTGAGTCAATTGCGATGATGAAACCGAAAAAAAGCTAACGATAGTGACTATGTAGAGATGTAGTCCTTTTTTGCATCACTATGACTGATTGTGAGTGTGGTTGGTTGTCGATAAAGGTACGAAATCGGATGTTGTATGCGTGTAGATTTTTTTCTTCTGTAACATCCACATTCACACTCTTGTTCAAAAAACGACAGAACATGTGGGTGGTGGGAGTGTAGATGAAAACAAGGCTCACACCCACAGCCATACCATCAATAGCAATACCTGTCAATACCAAATGGTATTGACTTTTGATAGCACGCACAGCTCGTCATGAGATGAGCTTGAATTCGAACGGAATCTCGAGTTACGAGATTGCATCGAATCCTAAATCCAAATCGAGCCCTAAACTTCGAGTCCTAGTGAATTCAGCCTCTTTCTATACTTACATACAGCAATATAGCATTAAAACAGAACGTCAACTACTGCTTTTGTGGACAAAAAGTAAATAATCTTCAACATGAAGACAGTCAATGAAGAGACATGCCAAGTCTATGAACTTAAGATCATAATGATCCCATCCTAACGAAACAAAGCAATAAATTGAGATACGTTCTCTTCAAATATGAGAAAGAAAACATCTTACGCAAAAAAGAATGGCGCAGTTTTCACTGATGTATCAATCATATCATCTACCTTACCTTGATGAAAGATGAGTCTTTTATAAACCATTGGATGCACCTGGATTTTCTCTACAAAATTGTATACTGTATTTATCAAAATAAGTAGAGCTACTTAATCTATCAGGGTTCTCTGACAATGAGATAAGGAACCCACAATGAGAGTAGTAATTACTAGTAATAAAATTTTGTACAATAAAAGTAGAGATCATAAATTGATTTCTGCACTCATATCAGTATCAACAACTGGCAGTAAACGAGCGATGTTAGGGAGAAAATTAACAAATGTTGATGCAGCAGCCAAATGGAGTATTCATAATTTTTTTGCATCACGAGTTTCTCCAGAAACACAACCAAACTTACACAATGGAAATTCTTTTGATTCATCTAAAGAGTCTTCGCTGACTGAAAGTAAGTATCATTATAAGAAAGTATCGATAATAAACCCAATATATTCAGTTTCAATTCATAAACCAAAGTTGCTTTAAATTGATTTTAATATCTGGCACCTTTTTTTCATTAACAATATGATGACCATTTTGTATTGAGACAAAGAATGATGCTTCTGTATAGTATCATTAACTTTTTGTTGTACATATCAACTTAGAACTGTTTATCATTCAAGAAAAATAGTTTCTTTTTTAAAAAACAGTCAGAAGCGATTAGTGCAAAATGAAGTTTTTCTATTTGCATACTTGATTAAAGACAAATAGAGTTCCATTAGCTCGTGTACATTTCAGATAATTCAGATCAGACTAACACTTACGATAAAAGTTCATCATTTTATATCATTTATAAAACAGTCAATAAAATAGAGACTTAAGCATATTTTCCTTAAAATCAAAACTTTTACTGTAAGTGCAGAAGAAAAACAAACGAGAGATATTCTAAAACAAATCAAATCTCAAAATTCTACACAGCCAGTTCAACAGAAGCACAGGAATACAATTGAGTTTTGATAAAAATATATATCTAGGTAAACAGCGACAAGCATGCCGATTGGATTGGGCTGAATCGTCATGGACAAGATGGATACAGATATCATTACTATGGTGGGTAACGCCTGTTTTGTCCTTGGGTAATAAACATACGCTTGCTGAAAACGATCTTAACGATCTTTCTGTCAACGACAAATGTTCACTTTTGTTGAATAGAGTGAATCAGTATAATTCTCAATGGCAAGGTACATGGTATATATTCAAACGAATATTTTTTAAAGATTTTCTAATAAGTATATTGCTTGTTTTTCCATTGATGGTTGCTCGTATTGCACAGCCATTGCATATTCGTCAAATTGTGCTCTATATTAAAGGTCAATCAGGATTACCTGTTTATGGTGCTTATCTATGTGCTATTACTCTTTGCGTTTCTGCCATGGTACAAGCCATTATTCACCAACAAGTCTTCTTTCGAAACACACGGATAGGCATGCGCATTCGCAATGCATTATCATCTACCATCTATAAGCACTTGTTGACCATTAATACTGCAGCTCTTCACAAGACTACTGCTGCTCAGACGATTAATTTAGTAGCAAACGATGCTGGTAAATTTGAAGAACTAAGCCCTTTCGTACATGTTATATTGTGGGTACCTCTGGAAGCTCTTATAACGTTTGGTCTTATTTGGTTGTACATTGGTTTACCAACCGTGTTCGGCTATGCAGTACTGATTTTATTAGTACCTATACAGCTCATTTTTAGCAGACAATTCGGCCAATATCGAAAAGAAACAATGAAATATACAGACAAGCGTGTCCAAACCATTAATGAACTTGTCAATGGATGTCAAATTATTAAAATGTACAATTGGGAAAAAGCAATGGAACAACGAGTACGTGAAACACGCCGATGTGAACTTTCGCACATTTTCAAATCTAGCTGTTTGAGAGCTCTTAATACTGCTCTTTCATTTTCAACGGTACCTTTGATTTCTCTTGCTACATTCGGTGGTAGTTGGCTAATGGGTCGAACTTTGCTTCCAGAAAATATTTTCGCGACTCTAGCCTTTTTTGCCATGCTTCGAGGTCCAGCAACAATATCGATGCCGTTCGCGATCGAAAAGTTTAGCGAAGCACGTGTTTCTGCAAGAAGAATCGATCAGTTTATGCAGCTCGACATGTTGTTGAATAAACGTGAAAAAGTGGAAAACGAAAAGAGTGATCACGCAATCATAATGGAAGATGCATCATTTTCATGGAAAGATACTTCTTCTTTGTTTTCTCTTAATCTGAAAATCAGAAGAGATAATTTAGTTGGAGTGAAGGGTGCTATCGGTGCTGGCAAGTCAACTCTACTAGCTGCTATTCTTGGTGAGATCAATCTTATCAGTGGAAAACTACAAATATATGTTGATTCAATATCGTACGCTCCACAATCGGCGTGGATTTTTGCTGATACTATTCGAGCTAATATTCTTCTTGGCAAACCAATGAATGAAGAACGTTACAAGAATGTTATCAAGGCATGTTGTCTTGATATTGATCTACTCAATTTTGGTGAAGTCGGTGATTTATTAATGATTGGTGATAAAGGTATCAATTTGAGTGGAGGACAAAAAGCTCGAATATCACTCGCTCGTGCTCTTTATGCTGATGCTGACTTATATTTACTCGATGATCCATTGGCAGCTGTTGATCCAAACGTGGCCAAGAATATTTTTGATCAATGTATCGGTCCTCGTAGTTTCCTTCGTGGAAAGACTCGGATATTGGTTACACATCAGACACAATTTTTAGTTGAAGCAGATCAAATAATTCTCTTGAGGAAGGGTCACATTGATGAATTACACATTGAACAACCTGTTGACAATGAGTCATCAAATGATACATTAGAAACAGACTCATCAAACGATACATCAGAAACGGACTCATCGGACGATAATGAGACAGATTGGACACTCAACACTGCTACAACTGATATAAATTCGATTGTAAAGAATGAGACATCAATTGATGGTGCCATCAAGTGGAGTGTTTGGCTGCAACTGTTCACTGCACCACCTTTACGTTGGTTTGGTTTTTTTCTCATGATAATTTTTATGGTTGGTACTGAAGCTCTATATGACTTTACAAATAGTTGGCTTGCTTTATGGTCTGGTAAAGATGAGAACGAACAACGATCATCATTTTATGCTTACGTCTATCTTGGAGTTATATTTGCTACATTAATCATCGCATTGCTACGTGCCGGCTATATCTTCTATATCATGTTGCGTGGTTCAACGTATTTTCATAATCGAATGCTCAAAGGTATCTTGTATACTTCGTTACGTTTCTTTGAGAGTAATCCAAGTGGACGAATATTGAATCGAGCAAGTAAAGATCAACAAGTGTTAGATGAAGCATTACCTATGGCTTTAATTGACACTATGCAATATTTACTAATGACTCTCGGTGCTATCGCAATCATTGGAATGACCAATCCATGGGTACTTCTAATTCTCATTCCTTTGATTCCCACAGTTTTGTGGCTTCGTAGATTTTACATGCGTTCCAGTCGTCAACTCAAACGACTCGAAAGTGTATCGCGTAGTCCAATTTATGCATTGTTCTCATCGTCATTGGATGGACTTACTAGTATTCGTGCGTTTGACGCTCAAATCGATTTTTTGAATATGTTCATAGAAAGAATCGATACCAATGCACGAGCTTACTTCATTCTCTTTGCTACTACACGTTGGTTCGGTTTACAGCTTGATCTTATAACATCCTTACTCACATTAGTTACTTCTGTTCTTGCAGTAGCTTTGCGCCATCAAATCGATCCATCGGCAGCAGCACTCAGTATCAGCTACTGTATCACGTTAACAGGTCTGTTTCAATGGGCTATGCGACAATCAGCCGAAGCTGAAAATTTCATGACTAGTGCAGAACGTATTCATGAATATGGTCAACTAACACGAGAAAGCCATTCCAACAATAATAAAAGCGGTGTACTCATTCAACCAGCAGATGATTGGCCATCTCGTGGTATTATCGAATTTAAAGACTACACTTTTCGCTATCGACCAGAGCTCGATCCTGTCCTCAAAAATCTTAATCTAAGAATTGAATCCAAAGAAAAGATTGGAATTATTGGTCGGACAGGTATGAATACTTCTGGAAATATTCGTGATGAGCATTCCTAATGAGGAGATAAGAAGTCGATCGAAAACAGATAAATATAGACAGAGAAAAGATACTGACGCTGATACTTCTTTCTATTATCAAAAACCCATGGTTGAAAGTAGTTCTGTTATGCTTACATTCTTCTATATAAATCAGACTTCTTGTGACATGATTTTTTTTATTCCTAACACGTAACTATACTTATGAAAGAACTATGAGCAAATGAGATCATAGCGAACGACTTGCGAAATATTTCTGACCTATCAAGCTCATTAGGTACAATCTGTTTTGATTTTCTGACACTTTCTTAGCCACTATTGTGGAATCCTACAAGATGGATATAAAAAGATATCAGTGAATAGGAGTACTGTAAATGGTTATCACTTAGGAAATCTGCATATCAATGTAGTTGTGATCATTTCACATAATGAACGAATTATGTATTCCCTTTACTGAGAAGAGTACAACAGTCGGTACTACCCAATTCTTAATATATATAAATCATAAAGAAGCACTTTCAAGCAATAAGAGACGTTTGAACAGCAGCTACGAATTTCAACATGTACAGTGTACTTCCAAATGACCTGGAGTCTTGAAATCTGTGATTATTCTCTTGGCAAAATTTTTTGATCAGTATCTGTTTTTCGTCTAGGTGCCGGAAAGTCATCACTTCTTCAAGCTCTCTTTCGATTAGTCGATCAATCAGCCATCAACGGAACCATTCTCATTGATGACATCGATATTGGACGTCTTTCACTCGATTATCTTCGTTCTCATATAAGCGTTATTCCACAAGTACCAATACTATTCTGTGGTACACTTCGATACAATATTGATCCATTCGAACAATACTCAGATGAGGAATGTCTTACAGCACTTGAAGCCGTTCAACTCAAACCATTAGTGCGCAATCATCCTGATGGACTCCATCTGATGGTAACGGAATCAGGTACTAATTTGAGTGCTGGTGAACGTCAATTGGTTTGTGTAGCTAGAGCCATTCTGAAAAGGAGCCACATATTGCTTATTGATGAGGCTACGGCAAATGTTGATCATACGACTGATAGAATGATTCAAGAGGTTATTGCTGACAAATTTCGTGATCGTACCATATTGACGATTGCACATCGATTGAATACAATAGCCAATAGTAATCGTATTCTTATGTTGCAAGACGGAGAAGTAGCATATTTTGATGTACCCAATAATATCGACTTAACTCAAGGTGGTACACAAAACTAACCTGCTTCTTATAATTGTATGCCATAGATTATTGTATTGATTTAGAGTTTTTCACTCACTATTCTCGTCTGTACGCGTTAATATTGGTATTATTTTTGTTAAACAAAGTGCTAAAAGTTCTAAGAAATGAGTACAATCTCGTTTCTGACTACATGAGATAACATTTAAATGATTGCATCAACTATTCAAAATATCTTTTCTTCCAGTAGAAAAATTTGAAAAGCTTGAATGATCAGATTCATCCAAAAAAAAAATGAATACCTTACAAGAGATTCAAAGTTCATTCTACACTGTTGTTTTCATGTATTCAACCCATAATCTCTTCGAATGGTGTTGAACATTTTAGAAATATACCTGCATGTTCTTCTTGATAGTTGCAGCCAAGCTTTTCATCTTGCTCGCTAAATAACGAGTTAATGGAGAAAAAACTTTTTTTTTAAATGTTCAATTACAACTGGAACAACTTCTTTCTTTACTGATGACTTAGCATTTCTATCGAACATCAGATTCCTACTTTGATAGAAATTTGGAAATTTTCGTTAAAAGCGAAGTTCTCATTGCCGATGATACATTACAAAATTGTCATAGTTCAATGCAGTTCCTTGTCCACCGAATACAATAAGAATTTTGCCTAAAGAAAATTCAGTTTAATCTCCAAACTGATCTTCTCGGTGGAACGTCAAAGAGCTAATATTTCTGGATTCGATTCAAATTCATCTTAGAATCAATTCTGAGTATCAAATTCAAAAAATATAGGGTGGAAATATAATAGACTGAAGTAATTAACCTTTCAAAACGTCAGATCCTTCAAGTTGTCAAGCCTTTTCAATGTGAAGAATGTTTTAGAAAGAGTAAATCTATGGTTTTATTTTCGGTTCAATGCGCTCATTCAAATGATGTATACTTATTTGAAAATCAGATAGTGCTCAATTTTGACGTTTCGATACTTTATATTTCTTCGTTTTTTTCTGTCCTTTTGATTTTTCCACATCCTTTCTATCCTTGTTTTTGTTGTTTGTTACCTAAGTGTATGTCTTTCGTTCTCTCTTCTGTGCTGGTGCATGAAAGACTCTTCGAATTCGAAAAATACAAGTAATCTGATTATTGGCTTTCATAAGCTGTTTCTTCGTTTCGCGTTGAAACTTGACTGGTTACAACTATTAGAGAAACTATTGATTACATCTGCATTTACAGGGGTAACAGTTTTAGACAACATTTATTTCGTTTCTTATTGTGTTTAATCAATGATAACTGAACAAAAAAATAAGATAGACAGCTAAAGATGATATTATTAAATCATTCATTTGTGGTCTTAGTAGTGTTGTTACAAAAGTGTATTTTTAAAAGAACTATTTGCGGACTACTCATGTTCCAATATTTAAAAGTCTCAACAAATTTCACACTCAAATTTCAAAGTTTGCACTAAGATTTGATTGATTAACATAGAGAGGATTTGTAAAAACGACAAAAAACAGGTAGGAATGTTGGTCATTTGAGGCAAAAAGTCACATTCAAATCTTAGATACCTAACTAAAGTCTACATCGAAACCAAACATTTTAAAACCCAATCACAAACTCTCGGCTTTGTTGCACTCCTACTGACACACTAAAACTTGCTCCTATTTCAATGATTCGAGTACTATCATTAGTAAAATGTCCCTCATTACAACGGAACTTTTTTTCTAATACATGCCGCATATGAAATAAAATTCCTTTTTAAAATTAAAATTGTCGAATTCATGTATTTTCACGAAATTGTATTGAAATTAATTCTGATAGAGCTATGGAACTGCGAAAAAAAGCGTTTTGAAAGGGTGATATGATTATCAGCAGTGGTGCAGATGCAAGTGTGAGTCTCAGAGCTGATATAAATTCTAGTGTGCAATGGAATTCAGGAGGATTCATCCCAACATCTGCACCTGGTTTTTATTTTCATTTTTTTCTTCTGATTAAAACCAACTGTTCTGAAGAGAGGTTCGAGTCCACTTTACTTACACAGAGTGCTACAATAAAGATATTAAAAGTACCAGTAACCGTTTATATACGAGTTTTAATTTATTTTTCACACTGCTGTCGCTCTTGTTGAAGTATTCTTCTTTTTTTTATTAGGAATTGTTCGACTATTTTTCTCATCTACCAATTTTCGTGGACTTGGACTGCGTATGGCAACAGTAAAACATTCAAGGTAAAGAGGACAAGACGATTGATTGTCAACAAGAAAAAAATTCGTATTTGCACAAAGAAATTCAGTTCATAGAAAGTATACACGTCTATATTAATTTCTATACAATTTACAGTAGTTGGTATCGTTCAAAAATGAACAATAACTAATATCTCAGTAGCTATGATGAAGATTTTATTAAGGGTATAATTGTAGATACGGATGTGAGCCTTCTCGTTGCTCATATCCTCTCACTAACAATATGTCTTCTTGTATATGGATTCAATTACATCTTTAATTTCAATATCATGCTCAATTCAAATACAAAATTATCAACATTGTTTATTTTTCTATCATTTTTTTTTCGAATTATTCATATTGGTAAAATCCAATGAGACTGTATTTTTAGGTCCTTATTTATATCTCGTTGTGATGATTGAAAATATTGAAAAAAATATATTATCAATGGTATTTCAGTTGATATCCGTGTCGCTTAAACTACATCAATAAAATCGAACCTCGTTTTTCCAATGTTAATGAATGTTCATCTGCAATCATATTAATCATCACTTTCATCATGCACATGATGATGAGAAGAAAAAGAACTAGTGATGATATTTTGTTTAATTTTTGTAAAAAAAATGAATAATTTCGAAGATTATTGTTATCAGCCTGGCTCTCACGCGTGCTATTATTGTTAATTTTTCTCTCGTTTTTCTTCTCTTCTTTCCTTTCTAATCTAATCGTCCTCGATTGTGATATACATGCATATATATATGTTTTTTCCTAGTTACAGTCTGATGTTAAGATATATGTGTGTGCGTACGTTTTGGTTACATTTAAAATACAAGAAAAATGAAAACATCCACACCCTAATAATTGCTATTTTGCGAATTTATTATTGAGTCTGAACTTTTTGAATTTGCTCGGTCTTGATAAAGAGACAGTTGTAGGTTGAAAAACATATAATTTCTAAATTCAAAGCATTGTGGGTGTCTAAGAAATTCTAAGCATAGTATTTTAGAGAATAATTGTATGGCTTATTAATGAAATATTCTTCAAGTTTTAATTAGAGAAATTAAAACTTCAGTTAAAATTAATATCATCTTTGAAGTTAGCATTCAAATTTTAACTGATCCTTCATAGATGTTCAAAACATTGAAAAAGTTTCCTCTAATTCCTCGTAGGATTTAACCGAACATGAGTTTCACTGAAATTTTATATGAATAAGCAAATCCTGACTTGAATCTTATAAAATACTGTTAGAACTAACGACTATAAATCGATATCCAATACAAATAATGTTGCAGCGAAATTTTTTTGTTTTGATTTAATCTAATAGAAATCGATGGTACATTTTTTAAAGAAAGAGCAAAGTTCAAAAAATAGCTTAAATATATCGAAATTAGTCGGTTTCAGAAGCTAAATTCAAGTATGATTTTAATTACTATTGAAGTTCTATTATCTAATTATAGCCTAATAAATATTCGATAACAAGCACAGATTTATGTTGGAAGAATTTCTTAAAGATGTCCAAAGTTTCTGAGTTTGGAAAATTTATTGTTTTGTAGATTTTGAAAATTGTTATCGATTGGTAAATAAATATTTACTGGAATCGAATAGTAACCGAGTTTAACGGTTCGTGTGATTAAGAGTGTGGCCGCATCGGCTTCGCCTTCTACGCAAGCGATATAGATCTTTGATCTATGTCTATATACAGGAACATAAGTTTATCTATTGATACAACTAGTAAATCATTTATTCTAGATAATAACTCTCAAAGCAATTGAAGACTTATTCTTATTTGAATATATACCCAATAGGAACTGAACTGTAAGTTTGAAAGGATAAATTTACTAGATCAAGGTCAGTTTGAAACTGAAAAAAATCAAAACTTAAATTCAAATGTTTGCATAAGTTTTGAAACCAATTTCTTATCTCCAATCACAATAACTAATCAGCGCACTTAGGATATAAAGAAAATACACAATGAGATGTACATCCATACCCATACCCGCTAGGAGTCTGATAATTCTCAATACTGGAAATATTTAAAACTCTGATTAGAAATTCACAGAGTTGTTAAGAATTGCTTTATCCATGCTTCCAAAAATACATATTCAATATTGAGAATCATCAGACTCCGAGCGATACTTGATTTCACTCGTGTTTAGTTTTGAATACTCTTTCCAAATCTATTTTGAGGTTTAATCTAATACAAAATATAGGTCGCAAAATCAATTGGAATTGACTAGGATAGATCGAGTCACAAGCGATTGAGTTTTTAATAAGAAAAACATGTCATTTTTAATTTCATATTCTAGAAACCGTTACATTTACAATTCTATCGAGCGTCTATATTTTTGTTATTTTGCTTTATGATTGACATTGTTGTCGAAATAAAGTGATGCCAAAATTAGTCTCGCTTATTTCTTCATCGAATAGTCAGTGAAAGATAACGTGGGAATAAGAAAGAAAAAAAAAAAACATTTTTCATTAAGGTCATTACGAACAATGTAACATTTTTTGTTTCTGCACAGAACGCCAAAGATTCTTTTTACCCGAACACCATAGTGCTTGCTCTGCTCGATACGTCCATGCTCGTTCTTTGTCGTTTTTCTTGTAAGAAAGAATAAGTGTTAGATTTTTCTCAGTCTCTATTTGCACTCTCTATTCTGTGTTGTCACTTGCCATAGACACAAACAGGTAACATTTATCCTATATAACGGCTTGTACAGTATATATTATACTGTTTTTATTTTCAATATTTCTCCGCTATTCTTCATTTGATCAATTCTATTTTTTTTCTCATTGATATAATTGTACAGGGGAATCGAGTACAAAATGTAAAATTTTTTTCACAGCGTAGTGTAGTTCATTTGTTAATGTTGGTTTCGTTGTAATATGATTCCGATTTATACCTTTAGTTACGACGTTTTATAAACTATAAATCAATGGATTTAAATCAGGAAAATTCGAGATAATTGCACATGAAAATGGTTTGAACATTATTTCTGGCTCATGTGATGGTTATAAGAACTAGCACATTCTGTACACACAATGTTTGCAAAATTAATTATGATTGTCCTCAATCATCTTGTGTAGCAAATTACAGTTATTTACATGTGTTTCATTTATATTTTTTGTCACATATATCTTTAAAAAATTTATGAATTAAGTTATATATAAGTTTGCAGAGAATTTTAAGCCCTATGTTTGAATAAAAAAAAAAAATGTTTCAATCAAACGAAGAATATAGAAGAAGTATTGAAAATACATATTGTCTAATTTATTCTTGATCATTCATTATTATTTCTCCAATTCATTTATTATTTGGATCTAAAACAATAAAAAATATATTTAATTTGAAATTTGGCAACGGAAGAGACAGTCATTGCTATAACCATTATTAGTACTACGATATCTTCAAATTCTACGACTACTATGCGACAGTCGAGTGCAATACCAACTGAATGCAAAATTTGTAACGCACCTGCTCTGCATTCGTATTGTGGTGTTATTGCGTGTGATCCATGTAAAATGTTCTTCAAACGCAATGCTGATCGAGGACAAGTCAATGAAGAATATTTCTTTTCTTTTTTTCTTCACGACATCAATTGTTATTTTTTTTTTAGGCAGCACTGAAATGTCACTATGATGGTCATTGTGAAATAAACATAAATAATCGGCACACATGTTCATCTTGTCGTCTGACCAAATGTTTCGCAAGTGGAATGTGTACAGAGATACTACGAGGCTCGTATTCGCAGGCAACGCGGAGAAACCGAAAGAGAAAAATAGCGGTTGATCCAGTGACAACAAAATTAACGGGTTTAGTAAAGCGAAGTGAAATGAATCGGTTTGAGCAGGTAAGAAATGTTGATTCTTATTTTTGCTCTTATTGAACAACTGCTGTCGTCACTATCATAGCTAAGAAAGACTTAATAGTCGATTCATAATTTTTCTTAATCGTGTTGGAAATGAAAAGATCTTAGTCAAGGTCATTGGATGAAAATTTTTCGAGGAAAATTCAGTAGATAAATCACTTGAATTCGTATCAAAATTCATTCCAATGATTTCCCAGTCGATTATTTTTAAGCTTGGAATATCGTTTGTGTTTTGAAATGATCTTTTTTTTTTATTTGAAATGAATCAAATCAAATGATTTATTAGGAAGTACAAATATTTATCAAAATTTCAAAATCTGACTGTACATTATTATATGAAAGGTAAATTCAAAATTCATTTTGTCAGAAGTGAATTCTTCTGGACAGCAAAAAATATCTATTGAACTCTCAAAAGATCATGTCTATTTATAAGAATGATGTGTTGTTACAAAATTTCATTATAAAATATTAACGATGATAACTTTTATTAATTTTAGCTTCCTACTTGGAATCTCTTGCAATCAGATCAATCTATATTAACAGTCGATCAATGGAATTATCTCTCGAATTTATCTCATTGGTATGATGAACATATTGACTTATTGATGGCTGAACGCTTTGTATGTGAACAAAATATTCTTCCAATTAAGTTACGCTTTAAATGTCAACCATTGAAAGAATTCATCTTAGCAACTATGAATAAAGCTGTTCTACTATACAAAAACAATCAAGATTTTCTCTCTTTAATTTCAGATGATCGTTCAACATTATTTCACAATACAATCAAACATGTAGGAGCTCTTGCTTCACATTTCATGTATCGTCAAGTTCGATTGTTTGATTATTCAGCTTGTATCCAATCACTTGAACTTCTCTTTGGCCAAAATACAATAGTTTCCGCTAAGCGTATATATGATTTACTTGATTTTGACGTCATTATTTTGAAATTAATTTTGGCCACTCTGACATTCTCCACAACTAACTATACAATTTATTGCAACATTGTCTCAAACAATCTAACAAATATCAAAGAAGTTATACGTATTCAAGACATGTATGTTGAATTAGGATGGCGATATTTGCTTTACAAATACAATCATGATCAGGCTGTCATCTGTTTTTCTAAACTAATACGTTGCCTGTTTTGTGTGCATGATACTATTATTAAAGCATATGAAGTTCAAGAGTACAGAGATATCATTGATACTGTTGTTCAACAAACCAAACAAATTGTTCTTTTTTAATGATTAACTGTTTTCTTTTCTTCTTATTGTATTAAGTGTAACAGTATGGTATTAAGAGTTGATCATTTTTCTTTAATAAATGGTTAACACAAATGACATGATCATTCTCAAGAAGCACATCTGTTTTCTGGAACTCACATATATTTTCGAAAAAAATTATGAGTATAGGGTGTGGATCTCATTGTGTATTTTGCAGACAAAAAATTTTATCACTGAGCACGGTTCAAAATTTTTGATTTTCTGTCAATATATAAAGAAAAGTCTAAAATGTATTTCTATATTTTTATAGATATGTTTAATTTAATAGAGCTTATTATGTCTATAGATAGAGGACCATGTTGAACTACGCACAGACAATAATACAAATACAGCAGCGCTTCTTTTTGTTCTTAAATAAAATTAGTCTAGAAAACTTTTGACTGCACCATGCAAATTTATACTGTCAGCTCAAGTTGAAATAATATTTTCTTCAAACAAAAATGTGTATGATTCAATCGAATTTATCACCTGATATCATGCTACTCATATTAAAGCTCTAATAGATGTATATATCAAGCTTAAAACTCGACTTCAATTGGACAACAGTTGAAAGATTGAAAAGTTATATTTCAAGTTTTAGCTATTAAACTTTCAATGCTGTCTTCTCTCGATGAGGATGCCACCAGAATACATGTGCATAGGGTCCCTCGTTGATACTTGAAATTGAAAGAATAGTTATTCAATTGAATTCAACTTTCAAGTTTGACACTACTTCTATTATTAAAAATACTGATGAAGTAAATCCAAAAAACAAACGCAGCAGATAAGTATTCATAAGAATATCAAGGTAACAAACAGAAAGAAAAGGAAATGAGATATGTTTGTATAACTCTAGAGTTATCAACTTTTATGCTTTAGTTTTTCGAAGTTATCTCTCTTATATTTATTGCAGTTGTTTCTACCACATCCCTGAATTCTATCCAATAAAGAAATAATGATGTTTGCATAAGCATTGCAGTGAATTATATTGAGTATGTTCACCAACAGCCAATACTAATAATTTTCCACGACCCTCCTGAATATAAGAACCTATAATGAACATTAAAAGAATAAAGAACAATATTGCGCTATAAACAAACTTCTCACCAGCTAATAAATATGGAAATTTGTCAGTTGCACATCGAAGCAACTCGTATTTACTAGATGATGAAGATTCGTCTATTTTCACACTACCATCAACTAGAATCCCATCGACGATGATTGTATCACCTGCTCTCACTTGAAGAATATCACCAACTACAAGCTTTTTATATTCGATCTCGTGTAGTTTACCATTACGAACGACCATCAATAGACTTCCTTTAGGTAAAATATTCTTGCTGTTCCATTTGTAACCTATATCATTGCATCCAAATACTTTACGACGTGCTCTCAAATCATCCCGATTATATGTTAAACCTAAAATAGAATGCATTTTATATTGTGAGTACTTGTGTATACATAGAAAGGCCCATTGTGATAGATAAACGGATAGAATCATATGTTGAACTCATGATCATATCCCATTTCAACTGTTCCATTGTACAAAAAATCATCCTCGACGTTTTTTGTTCTAATTAGTAACTATTCAGAACTTTGCCTTCTTCAGAAAAATTTCGATTTTTTTTAGCCTATGAAACAATTACTACATAAAAAAAGCTTTTAATATAATTCTTGTTTGATTAAAATATGAAATAAATTGAATTTGCTTTATTCGAGAATGAGAACATTACCCGTATCAGTCACATTTCTGATGAAAATCAGATACATTAGTACATCGAAGTGTTGTCTTTCATATTGCACAAGATAGACCAGGGCATGATTTACTTTTCTCCTTATATACCCCAGCTTTCATTTACAATTGTGTTTTGCAAAATTATTTCGACGTATCTGTGATTGGTAAAAAAAAAGTATTGTGATTAATAGTTGCCTTATTTTAAACGACAGGATCATGCAAATGAAGAAGTTACCCATATTATTCTAGATATGCATCTAATTTAGAAAGGTCTGCTTCAGAAGAAAAAAAAAGGTAATTTGCCATTTTTCAAATTACTTTTTTTTGCAATAATCAATATCGATGATAAATTTCCACTTTCATCATTAAGAAAAACGAATTTGGAAGGTGTTTTGAAAAATGTCTCTGACTTTCTTTTATCATTTTTTCAGATAAATTTCAAAATTATTTGAATAAAATATTGCATGTATTCAATAGAGAAAATAATCACATTCGATCTACAAAAAAAAAGCAATGCGATTAAATTTTTCTATAAAGAAGTTAAAGTCATTATCTTATTGACGTTCTAAAATCGGACCACTATCGTGGGATTATTTTGAATGTGGTCAAAATAATATTGATCAATCATATAGAATAGAATACATTGTCAGTGCTTAGTTTCGTTTATTAATAAATATGGAAATACCATTAAATATTTTTTACAGTTTATTTTCTTCCATTTTTCACGCTATATAGTGATGGTTTGAAAATGTAACTTTTATAGTTTCAGATCATTTGAACACGAATTCAAACTGAAAAATGTTTCTTTTGAATTTTGTAAAAATATTCTTCGTTGACCCAAAACCTTCAACTTTTTTGTTGTGATGTATTTCCTCATTTGTTCTTACAGTTTCCCATCAATCGAAATAAAAACTATTTGATGACTTGTTCTTGTGAAAAAACATAATTAAAATATGACTTCAAAAAGTCTCGGTCGAATCTGATAAGTTTTAAAAGTACACTGAAGTAGAATGATTTACGACAATTATGATCGATTTGTCTCCTAACAAGACACGAAGTTTGCTAGCCTTAATAATGTGAATTTATGTTTTTAATATATAATATCTGTGAAACGTTTGGAACGAGATTATCTAAATCGTTGCAAAAAAAAACATTGGTTATTAAAGAGGTAAAGTATTTGGCTTCATGAAGCTCAAATGAAAAAATAAGCATGCATCTTAACTCTACAAGCCTAAAGAACAAAAAACAGTTCTATGTAATTACTTACCTGTGAGAAGATTTGTTTTCAACTTGGTTTCTAACCCTTTGACGCCTCCAAATTTTTTTTGCAAAAGGTTTACATCTCTAGATTGCATCAGTTGGTATAAATCATTCATTTTAATATCAAATAGACTGGGTGCGTTTCCCATCAATTGCTTAGTCAGACTTAATACTATTTTTTTTATACAAGAAAAAACCTTTTATATATACGAATACTAATTTATGCTAATATTGTGCATTGAATTAAGAGAGAACATAAAACCGAACATATAAGAACGATTAAACCAGTGACTATGATATTGTTTCTCTTTACCTAAGTGTTTCGTTTCATTGTAAAGAATACATAGTTAAAGTTAGAACAAGAGTCATGTTACTTATATTCAAAAGAAAGTTTTAAAAGCGACCAATATTTGCCAGAAGAAAAATTTACCAAGTGTTTCAAAACGCAAAACATGTCTTTTGAATAATGTCGCATGAAACTGGTTTAAGTGTCCTTCTTTATTATACAGTTCTAATAACTTGTATTTGTACTGATACGATTGTGCACTTGTCTTCAAATGGAATCGATGGCTAAAATATAGTCTTCTATTTGTTTTTATCTGATAGTAATTCTCTAGTTTGAAATGGTACTTCAATACTTCTAAACAGATAAATTGATAAAATTAATAATGGAATAAAATGTGATTTTTCAATTCATCTCTTCACATACCTGTTAAAAGTCTATTGTTGCTTCAAATATATCACCGATTATTAAATAGGTTTTGTAAAGTTTCTTGAACAAACAACGTGCAAGTTGTACAATCAATCGCAATGCCGATGAAACACCTTTCAAACTATTTTCGAATCATGCTGAACGATTATTTAAGACTCGATTAGAGTAAGTTTTCTTCGAGAAATTTCTATCGATGCATCGTTTACTCTTACGTTGAAGTCTTTAATAACATCTTGAGTTTGCTTTATTTTTCTTACAAGTCAAAAGTAAGTAGTTTACTTCTTGTACATAATCATTTTTGTCAATAGCTACTACCACTGCTGATTGAATGCATACGATCTTGATCTTTCTTTGGCGTATCTATCTAGTTGTCCAATTACGTGTTTGATTACGAGAAAATTAAAGTGCAATCCTTATCAAATATATACATAGAACTTGTAAAATTATGTAATTCTTCGTCTTCATCAAAGTCAATGAACCACTTAATCGATTATAGGATCATTGCAGAACGACAACATCATTTAGATCAACACTGATTTATACGTTAGCATCATGATCTTTTGACAAAAGAAACCATCATCGGTAACTGTCATTCATTGAATGATTTCCTAGAAGTGGCTATTTTATTTTATATTTTTGTTTAAACCATTGCTTATTACTTGTCGCATAACTTAGAACATATATGTTCGTTTACAAAATCGTATCTTGGCTTTGGGAATCAATCAGAGACAACCGTAAGAGAACAACTTGATCAAATCTAGTTTAGTGGCTTAATATTAATTTCTTATTTAACAACCCATTCAGCTTTGTACTCAATAAACAATAAAAAAAATTTACTATGATTCTGAGAAATGCCACTCGAATGAGGCGTCATCGATAATCATGACAACAAACGAATATCATTTCTTTTTTTTTCATTCATTCTATCTACTTTTATGATTACTCTAGAAGTAAAAAAAGAAATCTGATGCTCCAGGTTGAATTAACAAGAAATTAAAAAAAAATGCACGATATTGTACTTTTGATTATGCCAATAGAGCGATAAAATGGTTTTGACACATATTCATTATGGATTGGTGGGATTTGAATTGTTTCTTTTCTATTTCAATAGCTTCATTTTTCGTTATCTACAAGAAGTGTATATCTTCTAGTTATATCGATCGATATTGTATTGCACTTAAGTGGATATTATGTTAAAATTATGGTTGTATTGGTCATAAAATGTTAGGTTCACTATCATATTTACATACTCGTCCTACTCATATCATTATATACTATGATATTGTATCTTGAGTAATCATTCAAGTATTTTCCTCTTGTCTAGAAAAAAAAATATTAAATTGCATTGTTTCATGTTTATTATCTGTGTACAATGGACAACAAAAGAAAAATGACGAATAGGTTTTCAAAGAAGTTGTCGTTGTGCTTTATGTTAAAGATATATTTATCAAAATCACAAAAGAAGTTAAAGCAAAATCAAATAAAAGCTGATAAAATAAATGAAACTGCAAAGAGCATGTAAAAAAAGCTTTTTCTTCAGTAAATTTTTTTTCTAGACTTTAGCTCAATCATGATCTATTTAAAGATCATTTTAATGAAGAGATAAAATATAAAACAAGTATTTTAAAATCAAAATATCTATCATCATAATATCATGATCGATTATTAAACATAAATAATATTAGTAAAGTAAGTGAAAATACTTATTTGATTGAACAAAGAAAAAAGATGTTTTAGTTTTATAGAATGATTAAATCAATATAATGAAAAGAAGAAACCATGTAGAAGTTCCTTCAAACAAATCGTGTTTATTCAGAAAATTGGTTATCAATCCAGACAATAAATGGTATTCCAATATCCAAATCATGAAAACGTGAATTACACTCAATACTACATAATACATACACAAGCATTATTGTTACATGTAAGTAAAGAGAGAAGGGTGATGTCAGAATGCTTCGACTTTGAGATTCATTCACTCTGTAACCTTTCTAATAACATTCATCACTTTCGTTAGGAACATTGATAGGTTTAATCTCAAATGTAAAGTTCTCGGTAGACTGTTCTTTCGACGTGTCATTGATTCTTTCTTATTTTAGATATTTTGTCTACGTGAATATCAAAAGCAGCATTATCTTTCACATTTTAATCTCACATAGATTGTGCTAATAGCTTTGTCTAGAGAAGTGAATCACAAATTATTCAAAACAAAGTAAAGGCAAAGAAGTTTAAAATAAGTTAGTCTCTTTTTTGTCTTCCATATCATATTCTTATTCTACCTTTTATCAAAACTTGTGTAGCATATAGATTGTAGATAGGAGCCAAGTAAAACACGATGTTGCTAATGAGTCATGTGTGCATATGCAAAACTGCATGTCAGAATGGCTTGAGGTAAAGCCGAAAGAATAATGATCATATCTTCATGCAACTACGAGTAGCTAGAATAATCAGAAAAGTGATGCATATGAGTTGAACGAAAAATAGAAACAAATAGTAAATAAGAATAGAGATTTGATTGTAGGATGAGACCAAAATGGCATCGTAGCTTGTCACGCAGATAGGTACCATGGAGTACAATTGATGTCATCATACTCATTCCGATAGCTAGACGAGGATGTGTTTTTATAGAAAAGATGAAGTTAAAATGAGAATAACTCTGTAAGAAGTGAATCGACAGTGAAACCAAAGGCTTCTAAGCTGAATTCACATCTATAAACATTCAGTATCATTTTGAAAGATCTGATGGTATTAAAAGACAGTTGGAATGACTTGATCAATTCCTGTTGTTAAAAATCTATTTCATATCAATGTTATTCAATTTCGAAAACCGCACTTGCGGATAAGAGAGACAATGCATTGGGATAGTATTGTGGAGATGAGGTGACATTGATCGATTTAATCAATATATATGACGAATTATTATAGATAGGACAAATCTTCATCAACTTTGAGAACTCTAAGGATCAGTGCATAAACACTACGCTCATATTGACTAAACGTCAATGGGAAATCAAGATGGACTTGCTGATATCAAATGACAAGCACCAGACTAGATCTATCATAATTGTAAATTTGAACAAGAGCCGCACAGACAAATGATGATCTTCTCATATTGAAATCAATATGAACAGATGCTTTTGCATTTTGACATCAGTTTCCATAAAATTGCCATGAACATTTGCGCATGTAAGATTTTTCACTACTTCGATTATAATTACGAAGATAAGTTCCGGTTTTCAAGCAGCAATTTAAATCGCAATAATGGTACTTTCCATTGCAACGTGTTCCGAAATAATTTAATGGACAAATACAATAAGGTTTGGTTTTTTTCTCATCTGTAGATCATAACCATTATATTGACAGAATGCGTTAGCTTCACAAAAGGTCTCACATAGACGTTCGTAGATAGAATTCTCTTTGCAACTATTTTGCCAACAAGGATTAAGTTTTGCATTTCCAAATTAAAATTGAAATTTCAATATGATGGTCAGATGAAATGTCAGTAGATAGTCGAAATAAGTTGAAGAATGCCAAGAGCCAAGTTTCTCGATACTATTAGTTCTTTTCAAGAACGAAAACATAAAAATGAATAGAATAGGTATGATTATCGATCACATCAGTTCGATTGGAATAGTGCTATCGCTTATGTGCAAGCATTTAAGAAGAATGTGCCAAGAGACGATAGAATTTATGTTTGATGATCTTACCTCCCCTTCCACTAATATTTTCGGTGCATCCTTAATTCTGTTCTTGAGTCATTGTGCACATATTCCATTTTTTTTTCTTGCTCTTTCGTCATTGGGAGTCATTGTATGCGCGTATTATTTTCTCTGGTTCGTACGTCATCTCTTTTTCATCGAAATTTCGTTTTTTCCTCTTCGTCACCAGATAATGGGTACGTTCTGTTTCTCTCATTGATATATAATCGATACTCTTCTATACCACATTCATAGTTTTTACTCGTTCTACAATACAAAGATATCTTTATAACACTACTATGACTGTTCGTGTCGTATCGTATAATTTGTTAGTGCCCATATTAGCTACTCGACCAGGACATGACTGTAAATGTCAACCTGAATTTCTTGAAACTGATTATCGATGGAATTTAATTCAATCGTATTTAGAACAAGAGATTGTCAATCATGAAAACACAATAATTTGTCTTCAAGAACTATCTCTTTCTATGTTACCTAAACTTGAATTATTTTTTCGTCGATTGAATTACACTTTTTTTCATAATCTTTATGGTGAATGACGCAAGGATTATATGGGTGATGGTATGGCAATACCAGTTTCTATGCAACTCAATTCCATTTCGATGATCAAAGTTGGAGATTATATTCAATCGATTAGTAAACATCATGAACAACAGGAGAATATTTTAACATGGCGATGGGATCTCTACCAGTTTCTCAAAAGCAAATTCATAGATCCCGTATCTGATCCTTGGCAAACTGCTATGAATAGACCCAATATTCTTATTTGTTTACAAATCGTGATTAATGGTAAATCATTGTGTATTGGTACGTATCATATGCCTTGCCTTTATAAAGAGCCCGAAGTTATGGCAATACACTCGTCGGTAGTAAAAGATTTGATGTTTCAATTGTCAGCTGGTCAAGATTTTATTTTATCAGGCGACTTTAATATTCAATCGTCGAGTACCTGTTATCAAGCTTTAACAGAAAAAGGTTATGTGAATCGTAATTTTCCAGAGCCCATCAATTATGATATTTCTTATCGACCAAATAGTGAACAAGTGTTGAAGAGTGCCTATCGAGAGAAGAATGGAACGGAGCCTATATATACAGATTTTTCTTATACACCACATTCACCAAACTTTTGTGCTACACTTGATTACATATTTTTTAAGGGTCATCTTATGGTGGAAAAGGTGTTGGAATTACCAGATCATCCCACTAGTGAATCTTATCCGGATGAGACACATCCTTCAGATCATTTAATGATTGCAGCAACATTTCGATTATTGTAATTTAACAAAAAAAAATATACTTTTGTTTCTTCGAATTCTGTCACTAAAATAAATCTATACTAAGTTAATTCGTGCTATGAGTTTATATTGATTGTTGTTCAACTTATGTATCTGTTCTGTTTTGAACATAAATAATCATCAAGAAATTTAAAATTGATCGTGATAATCTACATGGTATTATTCTGTAAAATACTTAAATAGATGTTCTGAAATTTTTTTGATAAATCTTTTGGATAGATCATGTGAATTGCAATCGAAGAAACGACGAATTTACTGTATAACGTCAATAATGTGACTAAGGAAACTATGACACTAAACATCAAATGATTTTTGTATTCTTCAGTTTACAACTTCTGTCTAATAATTCACTGATATGTTAGAAAGTATCTTTTTTAAATAAAGCCTATTCAACGTTTAATTTTGTGAGTATTAGTATAAAAAAAATACGAATAAATATAACAAAGATTAAATATAGTTCGATTTTCTATTTGTTACTGAATACAAGAACTTGTTTGAGATGGAAATGACGGAAGGCAATAAACGCTCAACAACTTGTGTACATAGATTATTTTTCATCGAAAAGAAATATATTATTGAAATGTTTTGGAATTTAATAATATATTTAGTTGCATGAAGTGATATAACGAGTGGATCATAAAGAATGATTCTCTCGATATTTCTAAATAATCAGATACAGTACCAGATATGAAATGAGAGTAGAAATTGATTTTCATTCTATATCGAAATAAAATTGAGTTTTTTTGGTGAAATATGATCTAAAAGGAGTATTGAAGTATCAGAGTAGAAAATTCGGGCTTCCACCCTCCACACTGGACAGAAATGGATACTAGGAGTAATCTCTACAACTTCTGTAGCTATTAACTTGCTATTTTGTATAATTATGCTTTGTGTTTTAGGCTGATTATCTATGTTTATTTAGCCTCGTTTAGTCGTAAGATTTCTAAGACATAGATTTTTTACTGAATTGTTGAAGAAAGCCTCGTAGTTCCTCTCAGATTACATTAAAAGTTGACTTTCGAGTTTCAAACTGAAACTTTGCATATCTAATGTTCTTTGTAAGAGAGTGTGGATGTACGTGTGAATTTCTTCTACATCAAGATCCACACTCACACTCTGATTTGAAAATAGATATTATTAATCGCTAACAGTGATCAGAAAAACGTAGTCACACACTTATGTATGTAGTTACTGAAGTAAATATTACATTTTCCTTATTGATGTGTGTAGATAAGATTGAGAAAAAATGCATCTGGTTTTCTCAAGGTTCAATGCATTCTTTACTATTAATATGCACTTGAGTTTGTGCTATTTTTTAAAAAGCATCTGAAAACTATATTCTGCATGTCAGAAACATCAATCTATGTCCTTGATCATTCATTTTTTTCAAAATCATCTGATGAATCTCCTTTAAGCAAGATCGAAACCGGATATGGCATTCTTGACTCACTCTCTTTAGATAGAACACATCTATTGTTTAGACTGCAAAAATGTTTTAGATCCAAAAAAAGGCTCGTCTGAGTAATGATGAGACACGTAAAAATTTCAATAATCGTGAGAGCTTTTTCTGCTTTCAGACTTCAACCAGAGGGTTAGAACCTCAACTGTATAATTTAATTTGAGGAGGAACTTAAATGGCGAACTAAAAGCAGATATATTCTTGATCATTCAAATCAATACTTCTCTCAGATACAACAACTTGAAACCACTTCTTTCATTCATATTTCTCTCAATTTTCCAAGAAACGCACTTGTAGCCAACGACTATTGCTTTGTTTTATGTTAAGAAAAATGAACTAACTGTCGTTTTTGCTATCTTTGCTAGTGTTTATCAATACGAAAAACGACCTTCTTTGACATCCTAGAAAAAGAATAAATTATTATTTCATTTATTAATTCTCAAGGTTATATTTGTAATGGCAAATAAAACGAAGCACATGAGAAGTTTTTAACTCTATAATCTACAGTTCTCCATTTCCATATCAGTCATTGTGTTCAACGATCTCACCAGTTGAAACATTGAAGCAAAACTAGCAATGTCTGTGATCATATTTACAGAATAGATGACAATTGAAACAGTTAAATCCGTAGCAATATATTCCATATGATAGATATCTTGTTTGCATGCCTCTGGTGGTGATGAAGGACGGTCGACTAACATTTGTCTATATTCTTTTACACTGTCAAGTAACAGTTGTCTAAATGGAGTCCACCAATGCCTAACATTTGATGTATATCGAGTTGGAATTTGTTGACGAACTTCCTGTGATGTGACTTTGGCAAGCTGAGCAAAATATCTCTCCTGCGCAGATAATGAAGGGTCAGTTATAAATGAGGATTCAAAGGAAGAAGCTTCTGTAATTTTTGTAGTATCTCCAATTATATCAGCAGATAAAGATGAGTTAGCAATTGTTTCTAATGGGGTAAGTTTGTTTCCTAGTACTGTTGGACTAGAATCTTGGACCAGCTCTGTAGCCGCTGTCGAAATGAGTGAGTTTTTGAAAGTAATTAAATCACCAGTCAAGATCGTACTCGACACTGATATATTCGGGAGCAGTGGATGAACGAAAGAAGATTGAGGGTCGGCTGTATTTTGAGTAGTTGACGATACAAAAAATTGAGAAGTTAAGGAGATCAGCACTTCATCCTTTAATAATGACTCCGTGATTGGCTGTAATGCATCGGACGGTATGCTGTTTGATAGTTCTTCAATCACTGTTGGAACCGCATCAGTGTGCCCCGTTGTCATCATTGTTGGCGTCGTCATGGTCGTTTGTCCTCCATCAATAGTTGTTGTCATACTAATGAGCAACGATATATTTTTTATACTTTCTGGTAAAAGAAGGATCAATTGATGGAGTTCAGATGAAGTGGCAACATTGGAATTCGTTAAGTATTCATTATAAATCTCTTGCAACTCATTAGAAAGATCATTCCACCAAAGGAGAACATTTGTAGTTGTATCATTGACTGTTGTACTATCAATTATTATCTGTATACTATTCAAACGCGCAGGAAGAGTTTCAATCAGTTGATAAAGACGTATCTGTTGCTGTTGTTTCTGTTGTGACCAGTACAAATGTCGTGAACCTGGAATTGAGGTGGCATTATAACACTCTTGATAAGTATTTTGTAATGATTCCCATGCTTCTCTACATTCTGTATTATTTTCCAGATTATAGTAGCACACTTCATAATGTGTGTTAATCGATTGTTCAAAGGTGAAACGAATCGTATAGAGATAAGTTGTACCAACGAGTTGTGTTGCAATGAGAATTGTTTTCAATCCAATAAACAATTGCAAGAAAATATTTTTCTTAGTCAAGAGGCAAATGACCCCGATGAGAGGATCGATGATTTTAAGACAACCGGTGACAATTTCATAGGTGAATGTTGCTAGATATTTAGTACGATCAAGCATTTTCGAGTTTCGGTACGAATTCATCTTTGATACACCATGTGAACCGACTAAAAATGGAAGAGAGCTAGAAAAAAACTTATGCTTTCGATCCAATTTCTACTTAGGTTTTGTGCAAGTACTCTAGACCAAAAGACTTCACACAAATGTAGAAAGAAGAGAACGATGATTAAGAACTATGGCACTATTTTTTAGGAGTTTCTTGAGATTCTTCGGCAGTTTGGAGTTCTTGATTTCAATAGAAATTGTCAAAGAAAAGAAACCCACAGTGTACAGCTCTACATAATCTGTTCGTAGCATAGAACTTACTTGTCAATGTTGCAATACCCATAAGTAATGAAATAATTAACCATATTTTAACTCCACAATTTTTGACTCTTCGAAAAATGTTCATTTTTTCAATTTTCTTTTTCTTTTTCGCTTCTGGTTTAGACAATCTATGAAAGAAAAATGAGAAAGTAGAAGTTTATATCTTTTAATTATTGATATACATATGTATTACAAATGTAAATAATCATAGTAGATAAAGAATCTCAACATTTTTTTCTTTTCTTTATTTTTTATTCAAAGACATTATTGACTAAGAAAACAAGTGTTTGTGAGGTTTGTGTGGTATGTCATAAGAAAACGGATTTATTCGACGTATGATGTTTGTTTGTCTCGCCTGTATGATTTCTGCATCACGAGAAACATCATGAAAGTTTATGTGATTTGAAAATATATGTGTAGAACTATGCAGTAGTTTTGAAAGAATTGATAGCTAGAATTATCTACTTTGAAAATGTTTTAAAAACTCCTTACGATGATTCGCTAAAAGGATATGGGTGTGAGACTGTGACTGTTGATGTGATTGGATGTGAGTGTCAGTATGGAGTGAATATGAGCATAGCTTGAGTATAGTTATCGAATGAGTGTGGGCAGATGTGAGTTTCAACGATACTGGGTGTGAGTTGGTCTTGATGTGGATGTGACTGTTGATATCATCCAAACTTACACCCTCACCTACACCTCCATGATCTTACGGTGTGTGCAATGTACAATTAAAGAACTTTCAGTCAATACTTTTATAGAAATTGTGTTGTTTGATGAAATATATGTGAATAAGGTAATAGCTCGATAAACTAATTCATCAATCTTTTTTTTTTTCATCAAGGAAGTTTTTGTGAAGCTTTCAATATCGTTTATAGGATCATTGTCAATGATTCGATGATATTCAAGCACGAAAAGCAATCATATTCGCAGAACGTTTATCACGAAACTCAAAAATGGTTCTATAGCTATACGAAATCTGAGAAAAAGGCTCACCCATGACTACGCGGGATAGAATCATCGGTAACGAAACTGGAAAGTATTTGCATGCGGTCCCAAATGTTTTAGAGTTGATATAAGAACTTTTCAAGGTTTTTTCATGTATGTTCAAAAAAAAAATATTGAGAGGTTCTGTATTCAGTGTAGTATAGAACATCAAGGTTCGGATTTCGCAACTGTCCAACCAGTTTAGACAGCATCGAATGATTTGATGATTATTCAAGTACTTCTTGAGAATATAAGTAATTATGGAAACA